GAAGCTCTATAAAGGGGAAAATATTGTGTTGAGGAGAGATGCCACAAGAATAAGATATGTTTCTCACTACCATTATTCTACATATTGTTCAAATAGAACAGAAATAAAATGATCAGAGAGGCTCTTGAGCTGCCTTGGCATGAACACTGCTCTTTTCATACTGTAGTTATCATTCGTTTATTTTCCTCCTTTTTAATATATAGATTCATAGAATTTGAGGTCAGAAGGGACCATTTTGATCATCTAGTCCGACCTTCTACATAACACAGGCCGTAGAGTCTCACTCAGTAATTCTAGTATCAAGCCTATTATTTCTATTTGAGGTATAGCAGGTCTTTAAAAAGATATCTGGTCTTGCTTTAAGGAGATGGAGGGGACCCCCAACCAGTTCATTTTAGTTGGTAAAGATAAAGAAAACTATTTTTCAGTAAGAGTTTGGTAAAACCCATTCTTAAAAAATTGCAGAAATATTTGCAATAAAAAAGTCCTACATCGCCTACTGATATAAATAATGTATGTCACCGTCCTGATACCACAGCTGTAGAGCCAAGGGGTTGGAGAGACCTTGGGAATACTGTCTCAAGAGCTGCTGAAGACTGAGCATGTCCCCAAGGAATGGTTTGGGGAGAAAAGCTGTAAACAAGTGCTGCACTTAGAGCCCTCCATGCAGGGGGAACAACAGCAGCAGTGATTGAGATTCTGCTACTAAGCAGTAGCATTATTTCACAACATGCTCATTTGCCCTTAAGAGAGATTCCAGTAAGAAATGAGTTATACATATTGCAGCTTGCTGTTATAAATAGCTGTGAGCCCTGAAATCTTTGCTCAGGTGAGTAATCCTTATGGAAGCAGTCTCATTGACTTAAACGGGACTACTCAAGCATCAGCACTACTCAAATGAGTAAGGTTTGCAGGCTCAACGCTGATGGAGGTGAAAATAAATAGATGAAAAAATAATTGTCCAAAACCATTTCTGGTTATTTGTTATAAGAAAATAACCCTGATTGTTCCAGCTTCATCCTCATGAAATATTTACAGAAAAATCAAGTTCTTCTGTATATTTTGAGTTTATAAAGAGGCCATCTAGTAAACCCACTAAAAGTCCTTTATTACAGAGGAAAAGATCAAAGGCACAATGTTGGTAAAGGAGGTGGTTAAATTCAAGGCACAGATGAACTGGGCCATATTTCTTCTTAGATAGTTGGGGGTACCCTATGTGGAATGAGGACCTCCAGAATCCATGCTAATTCATTTATGTGCTACTATTTTGATTTTCCATGGAATGGTAGTGAATGTATTGTTTACAATGCTTTGACTTAAATCGTAACTTGACAGTCTGTCTTAACTAAAGGACAGAAAATAGCTGCACAACTGAAGGAGCATCTCAGAGAATAAATTATGAGAATTCCCCTTCTGCTCCTTGCTCTTGGTGGGGATTAAGTTACTTCCTACCTTTTCATGGCGCAGTTTACTTTCTGAAAATCTGAGTCAGCTACTCTGGCTGTCAGACAGGTGGGTGGAGCTTCTCCCCACCCCAAACTTCTCTTCCCCCTCCCAGCTCACTTGACTCTTCTGCTTACATCTGGAGTCACAATCTGATCAGGGTGAAGCAGGGGCACAAGTGGGGGGGATGACCATGAGGGGTATGTCCCCTGACTTGTGCAACCAAGTAAGAGCTATGACAATCTATCCATTTTTGAATAAGTTTATAGACTATTTATTGCTGTGACTGGAAGACTGTGTATTTACAACAGAAAAATTCATTTGTATTTTTGTACACTCTAACTTTGTGAATATCATCTGTATGTGCCACATGATTATGCAACAGGGGATTTACTTCCACTGAAATGGATGATTAACATGAAGACTTCAGTGCAAAATGTTCTGCTGGAAATTAGAACATCAATAGTGCTATTCAGCTAATAAGTGTTTGTTGGTTCCCTGGGATGCAGTTTGTGAGAATTTGTGAGCTCCTGCAAGCTTTCTATAAAACAAAGCAAATTCTATTGCATAAGAATGTTCAGATGCTGTATTATCTATGCTTACTATGGTCAAAAGAGAGGAAAAACATAGAAAGGTTTTATGAAATTTTTAAATCAAGTGAATGTTTCAAGATTGCATGTTAAAGCTCAGAACTTTCTGAATGCAAAAAGAGGTTTTCAATTATCTTCTGTTTGGTCAGTGAAATATGATTTTTGTTTGCTTTGTAGAAACATTATTGTATAGAGCACATGTTCTTGGCATGTGTATACACGCCAATATAATTGCCTCGTGGTAACCTTTGCTGTAGTTACACTTAATTATAAAAAGCCAGATCATGGCATCAGTTATTAAAAAGATTTCCCATTGTGCACAATGAAAAGTTCTGTGTAAACACTGATTGTGCAGTATGACCTAAAGTGCCTTGACCTTTGGAACAAGTAACTAAGGTTGCCATTCCATTTTTTGTCAGGAAAATTCCTGTTAGACTCAGCCATTAATCTGACATTCAGAGACCACTTGACAATATTACCATCAACCCACTGTAATGAAATGCAGGACTAACTTTCAAAATCACCTTGCAATTTGTTTTTTAAAAGCCTATACAGCAAATAATTTTGACAGATTCAGTGATGCTGAATCACCTCCCAATGATGTTTATTCACCTTTCTCACTGCTTCTCCCTGTTCCAATTAAAAAAAATTAATGATGCCTCTTTCAACCCTTCAACGTACACATAGTTCTGAAACACTGTAAGAAACTCATCCATCAAGTTAGGCATCTGTTCTGCTTCTCTGTCTTAATATTCTAAATAATCCAGTATGCACATTCTAGATACAGGAATCTCATTAATACTTTTACTTATGAACATTTTAATTCCAATACTAAAAATATAAAGCAAAGAGGATACTATATGATATATATTTATATTTATGCTAAATATTTCTGTCTTTGTGTATCACTAACTTTCACATAATTCTTAACTGACTCATTTGTCATCAGTGAAGGTTCTCTTGGTATACATCATCCCCTCTTGTAGAAACACTTTCAGGAATGGGATGTGGGAGATGAACTCTCTTCCAGACATCACATCCAAATTATCCCATAGTAAGTGGGGGGTTTGTCCCCTTTGCAGAAAAAGCCATCCATAAACACGGCAAAGACTAGGGGAGGTCCAAACCATTTGTGTGGGTGTCCTGTGCCTCTGCACTAGCTCAAATCCCAGAACCTTAGAGTACCTCTGCAGGTATCAGAGCCGAATGGGGGAATGGTTCTGTGGAGGTGACTAAGCGCCTTTTCTCACAGCTGGAGGGAGTTTTGTGAACAGAGGCTCCCTTCCATTTATGTATCAATGGGGGAGTCATCTGGGCCTTAATTGTGTTTTTAAAAAAAATAGCACAGACACAATTTAGATTGTGGAAAGAAATAATGCTCCTACATATTCATCTTGCATTTTGTGCTAATGGATCTCTTGAGATAGATATTATGCATAGCATATGGGGAGTTGAGATATCAAGCACCATTTTTGTTTCACATGAGTGGTGAGTATTCTCTAACTCAGATATACTTCAACTGAACTGTTCCTTTAATCTGAAGTCTTTAAATCTTTTTCCAATTAAGGAGATATGTATACTCAAATGGAGGCCTAACAATAGCATATAAATTACTTAGACTAGTATGCTTATTTTTTCCAGTGTGGAATTAAACATAATAATTGCTGTGTTTGTGTTAAAGCTTCACTCTTTGTATATATTTTAATGCTTTAAGTTGAAGAACTTAATACCATTAGGCCTTTCTTTCCCTACTGTTTTTGTTGGCGCCATTAAATGGAAAGCTGGTTATCTGATACAAATTCCATTGAGTCCATCAGTAAGTCTTCATTATACAGTCCTTTGATGTCAGAAGAAGTTTTTACTTGGTAAAGATCAAGGGGCATATTTATGTTCAACTGATCTCTTCCTGGATGGTCTCTTCCATATGTAGATCTCTGCCACCCTTACAGAGTGGGCTCAATATGCTGCCTTTTCCATGCATCCTAGACAGGATGTTCCGTGGATTCAAGGAGTTGCGTGGGTTGAGAAGGTGGGTGGACTGAGGGGTGGAATACGTGGGGGGATGCATATCATCCTATCTTTGCCAAGTGGAGATTCCACCATAAATACAGCCAAAGGATGTATTTCCTTTGCACAGCTCTCTCCTCTATGTTGGGGAAATCCCCCTTTTAGGATGGTCCCAAGGGAAGCCAGAGACATGGGAATCTAATGGGGACATTGTAGAGCTACAGAGATGGGCCAGATCAGAGGAGCAGGGCCTTTGTATGGATGACTCTTGACTCTCTTCCTTCTGGATCCCCCTGGATTTCAGGGTATTTACAGAGTGTGTAGACTAATCTCTCACTTTATTTTGATGGGGTACCATCCTTTCCCTGCCAACTCTGAATAAAGACTTTAGAAAGGGCCTTAGTGAATAAAGGGCCATATTCTGATGTTACTGACATTTGTGTAATAGAAACAAGAATTTATGCCAACATACAGTATTACATTTTTTTAAAATGAACAGAATTCTAGGAAAAAATACTGCATAGGCATGCTAAAAACTGAATATTATTAATACTGAAATGCAGGCCCCTGAAATCAGGCTGAATTTATATGAGCTTTGGTGAGTATTTCCATCTTAATCTGTGACTTTTAGAATTATGGAACCATTCTGAAATAATTCCACAAAACTCTCAAAATAAATATAACTTTACAACCTGTAAAGACCAAAATCTGCAAGCCTTACTCATTCTGAGAAGCAATTTACTATCTGCATAATACTACTCAATGTAAGGATGGCAGATTCTGGCCCTTTAAGAAGTTTTTTGGATTCAAGCAGTACTGTATAGTGTATGGGAAGGCCATAATTGTACAGAATACTTCCAAAACATGCCTATTTTGGAAAATGCAAAATTCTCTATTACCACCAGCATGTATTGTCATCTTTATACTTTATTTGTAGAAGAATACTTTGTTCACACTTACAACTTTCCAGCTGCATTATACACGTTTGCACATCCATTGGGAAATTTTTGAGATCCATTGGACAGGACAGTATTAAAGTCAATCTGAAAGAATACAAAACGATTATTAAAAATATACCTCAAATACCATAGGGAGCACAGAACAAAAATGTTAACACACCTGTGGTTAGAAGTAGTTGAAAATAACTCAATGTATTTGTAGGAAACACTCTAACAACTATGAAAACAATTGAACCATTCTGACTCTCTTGTTTAATCCTGCTTTGCATTTGTGATAAAAAAAAAACAAAAAATTGAGATCAAAACCTAAAATTATTCTAAAATATTATTTATTACAGACATATTCTCTATCTCAGTGGGTATTCCACAGAAATGCGCTGATATTTTTAAATATTACTATAAAAGTACAAAGATATTACAGTATTTCATATCCTTGGCATACAATTTACCAAGACACTGTCTCCCACATGAATTACATAACAGATGCCAGGTGCAACTCATGCTGGCAGAGTAATATAAGCATTTGTATCCTAACAGGCAATACAGTTAAATTCCCAACATGAACATGTTAAAGGTGATGTTTCAGTTGTCAGTATTATACTAAAGAAATGCACCTGTGATTTTAAACTGCACAAACTACTTGCATTTTGTGCCATAATATTTTTAGTAAGCCATGTTGCAGTTCTATAGGCACTAAACTTATTTTTAAATATTAAAATAATACCATAATTTATATTTAGTGTAATACTTGCTAGAGAGATAAGAAAGAAGAGATGCACAGAGAAAGAAAACAGTTTTGCTTTCATAATTCCTACTGTGAATCATATCATGGAGATATTTTATTGGCCTTTCAGTTGTTTTGTAGTTTCTTTGACAGCATACTGTTGAAAATGATATAGTATGGATCAGACTTTGGCTAAGCTTTGGGTGGGTGAATAGCAGCCTTACAAGGACCCTTCCCTTCCATATGCATCTCCTATGCAGGAGTCAGTCAAAAATATGCAGAGGGACTGTTCCATAATAGCATCTCTTGAGACACAGGTCATCCCAAAAGGGGCACAGAAAGGTCGACCCCTTAAACTCACACAGGCTTATAGAGCTAGCCAGTCACAGCAAGGGCAGCATCTTCTGGGCATGCTACCCTGGTGTGTTGGGGAACTCTGGAGGCAACCTGCTGTTCCCACTGAGGTGGTGCAGTCCTTCTGCATGGAGCAGTGCTATAAGGTATAATAAAGCTCTATCATTCGAAGCCTAGTTCAGCAAAGGACTTAAGCATGTGTTTAAGTCCCATAGAAGTCAATGAGCTGCTTCTTATTTGCAGTACAGCCCCTTTATACCACTCTGGCAGTATAAAAAGGTCATATAATGTAATGCATAGTATAAAGATGCCTTAGGGTAAATGGGAATCAGGCCCAGTGGAACTTAAGCACATGTTTAAAGTTTAAATGTGTACTTAAATGCTCTGGAGTTGATCAGCGGGGCCCACGGACTCCCTGGAATACCCTTGGAAACCTCCAGTTTGAGAAACACTTCTGTAAATCTCACTTTATCCAATCTAATTTGTAGTGCTTCCAGGAATTAGGTTTTCACCTCTTTCTTTGGGGGTACTATTCCACAGACTAATAGGGAGCTTTTTATGATCCAAGACTAATTTATCAGTTATAAATTGCTACAAAGATACTAATACAGAAATATTAAATTCAATTATCAAAATGTGAGTATAAGGTATTCTGATTGCTTCTATGTTATTCTTCTGTGTTATTCTGCTGATTGGACATAATTGCTAAATTAAAGTTTAGTATTACAGAACCTTGAATTAGAACTAAATGTAATCAACATTTTCTAACTTAATTTGGATCCACTCAGTGGGAACATTCAGTTAAGAGAAAATGTAATAGTGTCAATTAAGAAGATTTCTTATAGGATTTCTTCTTGACCCTTACACAAAGTATATTAATAAACTCTTTTATCCCAGATGCATGATAATTATACCAGAGTGAGGCGATGTCTATACTACAGGTGTTATAGCAGTACACTTACAGTGCTGTAGCTGTCATTATAAGCCTGTAGTACAGACACAGACTATAGCAAAATAAGGGGTTTTCTGTAGCTGAAGGAAGTCTACTTTCCTGAGAAATGTTAGATTGACAGACGCATTCTTTCGTTGACCTAGCCACATCTACCCTGGGAGTTAGGTCAGCATAGCCATAGTGCTCAGGGCTGTGGATTTTTCACACCCCTGTGTGTCATAGCTATATGGATCTAAGTTTTAAGTATAGACCAGACCCGAGAATATAGACAATGGGCCTGATCCATGGATTCCTTTTCCTCACAAAAGTCCCATTGACTTCATATGAAGTTTGCTTCTGCTTGAACATATGGACTATAAAAAGACCTAAATACAAATTTCTGCAGAAATGGCACGCTGAAAAGGTTTTATTATCTATTGGGGATCACTTGTATTTTAAATTGTATGGCTAAAAGTAAAAGTGTATATTATTTCTTCAGGCTCCATGCCAGCACCTAGAAAAGGCTTGCAGGGAGAAAGTGATGCAAATGACCTTTCACAGTGACTACTTTGTTTTACAATCACATTCATTTTAACTGATCAGAGAAAGATGCTAGCAAAAGTAAATCTCTGTAGCTACCAATAAAATCAGAAAAGGTATGTAAATGTAGCAAGTAGATTGTTACACAATGACCTCCCATGGAAACATCTGTCAGGGGCAAATTTAGATGCAAGGTCTGAAAGTTTTATGGCAGGAGGACACTGGCAGCATTATCTGACAATGATGGTAGTGGTTGATGTTTAAGATGCACAGCTTGCTGTCAAATTCAACAGGTCAGCTGGCAGAAGGTCAATGCAGTGTGAACAAGACTTTTCAGAACTCTGGTGTCAGTTCAATTTGGCTTCAAGAGCAAGTAAGAGTAGGAGGGCATTAGGTATTATTCCATTGGCCATGAATCATTAGTGCACAGAATGTTCTGCCCATGCTCCTTCCCACTTTTGGTGCACTGTGTGCATAGAGCCAGATATGACAGCTTTATACCACTTTGGGGTCCCCTGTAGACAGAGATCCCCTACAGAAGGGGAAACCACAACTGCCCTGTTACAGAAGGTCCCCATTATGGGGGCTGACTGATAATCTGATCCCTTGTCTTTACTTTTTCAAAGAACTAGTCTAAATGTAAATTCTAATTTAAAACAAAGTCTAAATTGAAAAGTGGCTCTTTCATGGTCACTAACATATATATGTGACTACATTCATCATTCACTTCTGGTCTGCATATGTTATTCACTTGCAATTACATTTGGTTGGAAAAAGAAAACTCAGCACTTTAAGGTTTTCAACATTCTCTTTTGAATGACAAGTATTTCAGAATTACCTTCTCTATATTCATCAATGCAAAACTAACTTAAATTCAGATGAATATTCACCTACATGTTGATTATACAATTTTGAGTCTTTTTCATTGATTGGGTCTGTTATTCCTCTTGAAAATTTTTGGCAATTAAATTATGATAGAGTAATCACTGGAATTACCCTGGCACCACAAGAACTGTGTGAACTAATTGGAGTTTGCTCTCAGCACAATTAATGTTTGGTATTATACCTTTAGTACAGTAATGTGTCACATTCTTTTCAATGTGCACTCAAACTAGTTCATTCTATCTGATCCAGACAAGACAGACCAAATCCCATAGAAGTCATTAGCAAAATTTCCAGAGGCTTCAGTGGGACTTGGATTTGAGCCTTAAATCCAACTCTGGTCCTTAAATTCAACTCTTGCCCTTGTCAATCTGTGCCGTATGTAATTAAAAGGAGGAACTAAGATGGGTCAGACTGATAGTGTCTGAACGGATTCCAAGAGCCATCTTGCCCATGCATGTCAGGATGAATTAGAGAATCTGGAGACAGTTCACACAGCAGTGCTCCTTACTTGTGCTCCAAAAGGGGAGTACTTTGTGCCCCCTTACAACCAGCTGTCAATGGTCAAGTGCATGCAAGAGAACAGGGGCCCTGACTATTTTCACAGACTGGCCAACCAAGCCTCCTTGAGACACAGAAGTGCTCTTGGAAAAAATTGCCAGGGATCCTACCTGCTAATCGAGACAAACTGCTGCCCTGGAACATTGGGAGGAGGGAGACTTCCTGAGCACTCTTCCCCCAGTAATGCACCCAAACATGAAAAGAGCATTTTGTCCAGTCTTCTAATGCATCAGTTTATATGCAGATTCCTCTCTTTATCAGACCAAAAGGCCCCACAGTATAATGCAATACCTTAAAAGCATGCAAGGTGAAACACCAAATGTGAGGAGTACATTTTGCTCTGAAATGTACTATCATAAAACTGAGGGGAATGCTGAAAAATGAGTTAAAGTGCAGTTGATCAAAATTTTGGCCGTCAACATAAAATTGAATTGCTGTTCCATATGGCAATGGTGATAGATGTATTTTACAAATAAATCTGTCAAGTAGATTGGATGTTTTAGGACACAGGTAAGAGTGTGAAGTGGTGATTAGTGTAAAACTGGAAAGTAATGCAAAGGAAAATCAGGCCCTAGAACGTCACTCCTGAAACACTATTATTGACTTCTAGTACTAATTTGTGAAATACCACATGGGACACTAAAATCACATCTTTTTGATTACTATTATCTTCCCCCTACACACACCTCAGTTTCTAGAAGTAATAGGTGATACCTTGAAAAGTGTTAGAGCTAAAACCAATTACATACACCTTATGAAAGCTTCAAAGCCTAACTTTCAAATGGTACAAGTCAGTAATCTCTAGTGTTAAGGACTGAAATCAACGTTAGATGCCTAAATACTTTTTGAGGATCTGGACTTAAGTGTTTATGAGAACATTGGCTGCTACAGTAAAGCCAGAGCAGAAGTGTTAAAGAGGAGAAGAGAAGCAAGGCAGTAATCATCAGAGTAACTTGATTTTGTCAATGTTTGTTTTATTACATGTTAGGTAGATACAACTTCCAAAAAGTTTCACAAAATGTAAAAAAAAAAGTGAATACTTCTGTCTCCAATATGCTTCCCCCTCCCGGTAATATGTGAGCAGCTCTTTGAGTACTATGTAGCTACTGATATATTAAACTGTTCCTAGTTTCCACATTTAAGAGCAGCTACAACAATTAAGTGAAGGAAGGAGGAAATGGTTGGGGGGTTAGGACCATGTGAAAAGCATCATCTCTGGTCTCCTGAACATTTGTGATCATGGGAAAATATTTAGAATGAAGGCTAGAATTTGAACCCATTTATAGCCCTGCCCAAATACTAATGCTCAGGATGTCTGCGTTTTCTCACTGGCTCTGCCAAAAACTTCCTGTTGCCCCTGGGCAAGCCACATAATCTCTCTGTGATTCAGTTCCTCATCTGTAAAATGGGGATAATAATTCTTTATTTTTTTCCCACATGTTGTCTTGTCTATTTAGATCATAAGCTGTTCAGGGCAGGGGTGATCTCTTACGATGTGTAAGTAAAGTGCCCAGTATAATGGGGCCCTGTTCTCTTTTGATGCCTGTGGGTGCTATTGTAATGCCAATTCAGCACTCAAAACTCACATTGACTTCACTGCATCATTTAATTGCATAAGTAACAATTGGAGATATCCAGTTCCAAGTGTCCCTGCCTGTTAAAAGTATTAAAAAAAATTCCTTTGTCAGAGACTCACCTGATAGAATAAAGAACATTTCCATTTTTAAAAATTCGTAACAACTTGTTGTCTGTTGTAACTTCATGAAAGTTGGCACCTTTTTCATTAGCAAAGAACAAATCAGGTTTCCAAATAGAATCCAACATGGATGGATCTAAATCCAAAGAGTCATCTGGATATTCACTATATGCAAGGCGTGGATCATTCCAATTCTGACGGAGAAAGATATTCACTCGGTAATCCTAAGTGAAAGACAAAACAAGCAAAGCTTAATCAAGGATAGGGGCTTTAGTTTTTATTTTATCACTTAGCTGTGTAATCCCCTAACCTTCAATGGATGACAAATGATTTATGTCCATGAATGCCAGCATGATACTTTGCTTCATAGATTCCAAGGCCAGAAGGGACCATTGTGGTAATCTAGCCTGACCTCCTGTATAACAGAGACCTTACCTGTAACGATTAGTAGTTATACAATAGGTAGTAGTAAAGATACATTTCAGGACAACAGGAAACAATCATAACTAGGGCTACATTAAGGCAATGTAGGGCTGAAGATAGACCTCACCTCAAACTCCACCCCATGGTGCAGTTCCACCTCTGCTTGGGCTATAGCACATAAGAGTAATTTGCTGGTGTTGTGTGTGATCTGCCCTTCTCATCTTTTGTAGGCACAACATTCTCCATCTCCATCTTCCTGTCTTCAGGCCAGCTGGGTTGTGTCCCAAAGAAAGAAGACTCTGCATCCACCCACATAGAGGACTCTGACCCATGAGATGAAGGATAGGTCAGTGATTAGGGCACTAATCTTGGCTTTTGGAGACCTTGGTTCAGGTCCTTGTTCTGCTACATATTACCTGGGTAAATTATTTAATCTTTCTGTGCCTCAGTTCTCCATCTGTGAAATGGGGATAGTAGCATTTCCTTGTCTTACAGGGTTGGTATGAGGATAAATAAGGATACTATGATAATGGGGGTCATAATATAATTACTTATGATTGACAGACTAGGTGGAAGTCATCATCATGACATAATGGCAGCAGGAAGACTTACCTTCACTACACAATGATCCTATTGTATTATTGGAGGGCACCATAAAAGCAACAGGTGTCAGAGCTGAGATGCATGGAGCTGTTCAAAACTTTCCAGTTATTCTGAGCTGTCTGCACTACCTGGCAGAAATTGCTGCAGCAGGTATAGTTGGGCTCTTCTTCACAACCACGAAGGCTAGAAATATTATATTTAAATTAAATCTAAGATTATGATCTCATGTGACTTCAAAAGTTGAGGTCATAGGCATGCTCCATACTGCTTATGCCTTAATCCACCATTGGTCGTAACATGATGTTCTTAATTTTCTTCACTAATATATTATTGCAAGGATTCTTTAAATTAAATTAAAGACAATGCTATCAGGTGCACGCAGGCAATGTACATTGCAGATATGGAGAACACAGCATTGTCAGGCTACTGCTCTAACCACTACACTCACAACTTTCTGAAGGTTAAAGTCATCAAAGGATTTAATGCCTGACTTGAATTCCACTTCATCTCTTTCATGTAACATTGGTATAAAAGGAAGCAGTTACTAATATAACAGAAGACACAATTTAAAGTTGGGGACTGTCATTCTTTACAAAACTGCAATGTTTTTAGTTTGATTCTGGGATTAAAACAGTCTCCAGCTGAATGATGAGGGTAAAGTACAAAAGTGGTCTCAGTAAGCAATAAAGCACTGGTAACAAGCTCATTCTGATAGCCTTTACATGTTGAGTTGAACTGTATGTCTTTTTAATATAACACATTTTTATGCATTTTACTAAGGAAGGAAGGGAAGTTAACCTTCGAAAGGGAATTAATCAAGGGAATAAGAAAAATCCCCAGGTACTTAATTTTTTATTAGATCATTTAAATGGCAGAGAAAGTTGTAGGCTTATGTTTGGCAATATCACTAAAACACATTGGCATAACTTCAGATTTGGAGAGATTTATTTTGTAACATCTGAACAGCTGTCCAAATTCCTAGATAAATTATGTTAATTATAGGTAGAGAACTTCTTAGAAAAGTTCTGTAAAACATTGATTTATCAGAATATAATTCAATGTTATGTTTCTTTATAAACTGCATATTTGGGCAGTCTCAAATCATCACCTCTGTGGAAACTATACTGTCAGGGATCAATACCTCTGAAGTCCTATTGCAGGTGCTCAGCACTTCCAAGGATTTGACCCTTAATTTATTTGAAAGCATGTTTTAACCACAGTTTTTGAAGTTTGGTTTTATGGTATCTGGTAATGGTGTTAAAGGTAGCGTTTATATAATTAAAGGTGATAGATGCAAAAGGACCTAATTCTCCAACCCTTACTCATCTGACTCCAAGAGTAGTTCTGTTGTTCTATTTGGGAACACTTGTGGAGTAAGGTGCTACTCAATGTGAGTAACAGTGGCTAAATCCGACCCACAGACTACTAAAAACTTGGGCCCAAATCCTCAATGGGAGCTAGGAGCTTAACTACCTTTGAGGGACTAGACCTTGATCACCAACATCTTTCTCCTTGATCATCAGAAGCTACCATAGAGATAAGTGTGCACTTGGACCATCCTGTCAGGACCTACTTATCTATCCTGATCAAATTTCCAGACAAAAACTGTATGTTGAAATACAAGACCAGCTGGAGGATAGAACTAATTGGATGATGAAGGAAAGTGTAGGTCCTCTACTTAGCAGGAAAGGAGAGCTAATAGCTGATGACGTCAAGAAGGTCAAAGTGTTTAATGCCTATTTTGCTTCAGTGGTCACTAAAAAGTTAATGGTGACCAGATGCTCAACACAATTATATTAAGAAGCAAGGGGGAAGACACACAAGCCAAAATAGGAAAAGAACAGGTTAAAGAATATTTAGATAAGTTAGATGTATTCAAGTTTGCAAGGCCTGATGACATTTTGTCTTGGGGTACTTAAGGAACTAGCTGAAGCAATCTCAGAACCATTAGTAATTATTTCAGGAACTCATAGAGGACAGGTGATGTCTCAGAGGAATGGAGAAGGGCAAATGTAGTACTTATCCTTAAAAGGGGGAACAAAGAGGAGGTGGAGAATTAGAGACCAGTCAGTTTAACCTACATACCTGGAAAGATATTTGTTTAATAATTGGTTCCATCAGTTTGTAAGCACCTGGAGGATAATAAGGTCATAAGAAAGAGACAGCATGGTTTGTTAAGAATAAATCATGCTAAAACAAACTAATTTCCTTCTTGGGTTACTAGCCTTGTGGATGGGGGGAAGCAATAGACATGATATATCTTGATTTTAGTAAGGCTTTTGACATAGACCTACAGGACATTCTCATAAGTAAACTAGGGAAATGCAGGCTATGCAGAACTGGGTGAAAGATCATTCTCAAAGACCATGTTCACTATCAAACTGGGATTGTCTCTCTAGTGAAGCCCCACAGGGGTAAGTCCTGGATCTGGTACTAGTTAATATTTTCATTAGTGACGTGGCTAATAGAGAGTATATTTATAAGATTTGCAGGTGCCAAGTTGGGAGGCATTCCAAGCACTTTGGCGGGCAGGGTTAGAATTCAAAATTACCCTGATGAATCGGAGAATTGGTCAGAAATCAACAAGGTGAAACTGAATAAACATAAGTGCAAAGTATTTCACTTAGGAAGGAAAAAATCAAATGCACGACTACAAAATGGGGAATAATGGGCTAGTAGTACTGCTAACGAGGATGTGGGAGTAACAGTGGATGACAAATAGAATGACTCCACAATGTGATGCAGTTGTGAAAAAGTCAAATATTATTCTGGAGTGTATTAAAAGAAGCATTGTATACAAGACACAGGAGGTATTTTTCCTGTTCTACTTGGCATTGGTAAGGTGTTAGCTTGAGTACTGTATCCAGGTGTGGGCACCATACTTCAGAAAAGATGTGGACAAATTGGAAAGAGTCCAGAGGAGAGCAACAAAAATGAGAAAAAGTTTAAAAAATCTGACCTCCACAGAGAGGTTAAAAAAATCTGGGTATGTTTAATTTTGAGAAAAGAAGTCTGATGGGGGATCTGAAAAGTCTTCATATACATTAAGTGCTGTTATAAAGAGGATTGTGAACCATTGTTCTCCATGTCCACTGAAGATAGGACAAAAAGTAATGGGATTAATCTGCAGAAAGGGAGATTTAGATTAGATATTAGGAAAATCTTAAACTCTGAATAGGCTTCCAAGGGAGATTGTAGAATCACGATGATTTGAGATTTTTGAGAAGAGGTTGGACAAGTATCTATTAGGGTTTATCTATATTTACTTGATCCTGCCTCAGCAGAGAGGCCTGGACTTCATGACTTTTTAAGGTTCCTTCCAGCCCTATATTTCTATGATTCCCGGTATACGTGTAAAGTTCTATGACAAAATAAACCATCTATCCATATCATTAAGCATAGGGTTGGAGCAGTGTGGTGTAGTACTAATCTTCATCCATTTTATATTAGTGCTCATTTAGGGCCAATGCCCAGCAAGTGCAGAGATGGAGGAGAGTGAAAGAAGCCTCCATCTTTTGCACAGTGGCTGCAGAGAACCCTGGAAACAAAGGCAGCTCCTTGCTAGTACCTCTGGGGGTGATGTCTTCCCCTCCAAAAAATGGCAGGATGGAAGCAGGACTGTGGCTTTTACACCTTCCTAGGTGTAGCACCAGCCTTCATCTTACTCTGAATTTAAAACTGAGCCCCTAGGGACAGATTGTGGCCCATCCTACATGCCTGTGTAGGAAAGTATAAGATATGACCTTACTCCTCTGCCCATACTGTGGGGAGCTGTGTGTGTGAAGAGAAAGACCTCATTGGGGCTGCCATGCTTCTCCCCCCAATTCCATGCATATGAGTTTCAATGAGCAGGAAATGGGAGGAACCTGGCTCTGTGCCCCTAGTTGTGCCAGCATGCTGTGGGGATGTTCATTATGCTATGTATAGACCTGAAGAGAAGAAAGTTGGGAGGGAGATTTTGAATCTCTGCGAGACTTTAGGCAGGGCTCATAACAAAGCCATTATTTAACTCTTAATTAATATTTATTGCAAGTAAAACGTATTTGTCTACTTACTTTACCCTTCCCACAGAGGGTACAATAAGAAATCAATGCAACTATCACCCTAAATGTTGGTGAGTGGAGGGAAGTTGGAGGGGCGGTTAAAAATTCATACTGGAAAGTATAAATAAAAAAAGCAAATGGTGGAACATAAAGAC